CATCTTATCTGCTCTTTTTAGAGCATGGGGCGTTTGTGGCTTGTTTCAGTCCCATTCTGTCGGTGTTTTTCTTTTTCAAGAATTTACATAGAAAATGAACAGAGTACAGGTTGGATTTCATTGGTTTTATGAAAGAAGGCGTTTGCAGATTTTCGGCAGATGATGCGCGAGATTTGATTCAGCGCTATTTGACGGAGCAGCCGGATCCGAATAATGAGAATATCGTTGGTTACAATAACAAAAAATGTTGGCCACGCGATGCGCGAATGCGACTGATGAAACACGATGTAAACTTGGGACGCGCGGTCTTCTGGGATATCAAGGTAGGCAAGCCGTTGGCTCAAAAGGGAAAGAAATCTGATAAGATAGCGTTAAAAAATGGCGTTTCAGTCGAAAATTCTGAGGCCTGGCAACAATTTGCATCTAATTTTTATAAAAGAGCATATGGGCTGTCTCCGACAAACATAGGGAAGAGGGATGAGAAATTTAAGCTAAGTGTTGCTTCGAAATTACCTCTGACCTTCTGTGTTTTGAGTTTGAAAGTAGTGTTGGAAGTATCTGCAATTATGGTAAAAGAAAAAAAAAACCTCACGGTCCGTTTGGGCCCTGTGGGCAGATGGAATTTGGAAATGTAGGGGCTGAACTGGTACCGGGTGGCATATCTAGGACGTGCATAAAACGACGTATTATTATTGCTAAGGCTAATTTCCCGGGTGCCTTCGTCTTTCACAGAAAGCAAATGTGGAAAGCCACTAGATTTTTGGCCGGAGTCAAAACGTATAAATTCAAAACGAACGTTCCATCATCCTTAAGAATGGGGCATTTTGTTATAAGGCCAACTGGGTTGGGTCTTTTCGAAGCTACTTAAAAGCGAGTTTTTAACTCCGTGGCATATGCTAGTACCGGTTTACCATCGAAACGAATGAGGAAATCAAAGGGGATGGGGTCTGTTTGCGGTGCGAACTTCCATTGCATTTTCCAAAAAATTTTTGTGAACAAATCAAAGAGTATTATACTCTTTCACAAATTTTCCGATTTTAATTTCACAAATTTCACAAATTTTCTGGTTTTCGTTTTTTACCTTCTTTTTCGTATTTTTTCCTCTTTATTTCATTCCTTCTTATTATAACTTTCTGTTATGTCGCCAAAACTCTTTTGCTGTGCTGAAATGAAATTAGCAAATCGAGAAAAAATGCAAAAAACTTCAAAAAAAAAAAAAATCAAAAACAGAAAAAACTTTTCGTGGTTACAGCTTAGTGCTAATCCTGATTTTTTAAAAAGAAAGTGGTGAAATGATGATGATTTACAGAATCGTTTGCCGCGATCTGTTACGACTGTGGAATGGGAGAATTCTTTTGTCTCCGTGTACAGCAAAGATAATCCCAATCTTTTGTTCGATATGTGCGGATTTGAATGCCGAATCCTGCCCAAGTGTCGTGTGTCAACCGAGGAACTCACTCATCGTGATGGTATTTGGAAATTGCAAAATGAGGTTCGTTTTTTGTCAAGTTTTTTCCGAGCTGCTTTACGATTTTTTCGTTTGGAAGACTTGCCAGAGGACTTGCGAGAACTTGCGCGGCCGTAGGTGTAAAGTTGTGGAGGGCACACACTCAAACTAGTAAACAATCCTTTATTAGTACAGAAGCACAGAACCAAAAAAAAAAAAAAAAATCGGAAAACAAACAACAAAAAAAAGCTCCAATTTGCCGCCTCACAATTCTTATCACAACGAAAAAACAATCAAAACTTTATTTCTAATCACAGCATTACATATCACGGAAAGGGGAACACTAGTCAGGAGACGGGACATTTGCATATCACATGGAATCGAAGAGCAACTGAGCAAAGTGAAGAGTTTTAGCCGACAGCTTCGTTTCCTTGCTGTTAACACCTTGTTATCCCTTTCGCAACAGCCTACGAAAAAATGAGACACCTGGAAGTAGTCTTGGTAAACGCCTGTAACAATCATCTACTGGTAAAACAAGCGGGATGGCTTCATGTTTCAAAGACTATGTGGATCTGACTGTTTAGTGCGGATCAGTTTAACTTTGTGGTATTTGCTATCGAAATGAAAGAAGAAATCGTAGTTTTTTTTTAAGTATATTCAAGCTGTTGGGCATATTTAGGTCATTGTACTTCATCAGCTTTTTCTCCTCCATTCCCTTAACAATAGTTTTTATTATTTTGCTTTTTTCGAGAACTCTCAGTCATCTTTGAACTGGACTTGGCCAGCCCTGAACATTTTTCGAGAATTATACTCTGTACGAATTTGTTTTACAGGTTACCAAAGAACGTACGGCACACTGCTTTTTGAAAGTTGACGAGGAGTCGCTGCTTAAATTTCATAATCGAATCAGGCAGATCCTCATGTCTTCAGGATCAACAACGTTTACCAAGGTATTTTGCGTGTTACGACCAGTCGCCATGTCTTATAGCCGTGTTGCCTCCTAGAACTGCGCGTTCTGTCGGAGCAGGTTTAATTTGGAATGAATTTTTGAGGCTGTAACTCGCTGGGGTTCAAAAGAAATGGAATTCTGAAGAATTTTTATCGAATTTTTGTTTTTTTATCAATTTTTATAAATCAGTTATCAATCAAATTTATCAGGTTATCAAATCAAATATAAAAAATCAAATTTTACCAGATTATCACATTTATCAAAAAATTTGTCAAAAGAATTTTTATCAAATTTTTGCGTGTGCGTGAACGGGGGGGGGGG